TTTGTAGGAGGAGGAACAATAAAAAATGAAACAGTACCTGGGACACCATTGGTAACACTCCTCAGCATAAACAGTGCTTCATTTTTTCATTGGTTGCCCTCCCTAGCCCTTCCTTCCTCTTCCCATTCTTTTCTCCTGTTTTCTTTGTCAGAACCCCTTAGTTTGCCCTGGATATTGTAAATGTTTTATTCCTGATCTAATATGGTTTTAAAATACTGCTCCAACTGTTAAGGTCAATCTAATGATTTCAAAATGCAGAGGAACAGCTGATGTTTCAGTGGACAAAAAATGGGCATAACAGAAGAATTTTTTTTTTTAATTTGTAAAGATCTTGAGTCCCAGTAATTGGAGGCTACTAAGGGGTAGTTTCTAATATATGCATTCTTCTCCTGAAGAAAATCGTTTCAAGCTTGGATTTGGTTTTGGTTCGGTTTCCTTTATTTGGGCAACGGGTGAGGGTTGTTGGGCTTTTGCACAGTAACGCTTCCAAACTTCTCTGGATAGCCCAGAGAGAAAAAAAATGAGAAATAAATAGCTCCATTTTATTTTTCCACCAAGAAGAAAGGGCACCATGGGAAACTTCTCGCCCAATCCATCAGGGTATATTATCATCTCTGGTTCATGGCCCTCACTTTGAGGGGTAACCACTTCCTTTCAGAAGCATAAAGAAAACAAAATAAAGGTGGTAGTATTCTGAAGTCAGGTCTTATAACAGAGAGTTATCAATTAATGTGCTAAACAAGAGCCAGTCTAGCCCTGGCCGGTGTGCTCGGTTGTTTGGAGTTGTCCTGTACCCCAAAAGGTGGTGGGTTCAATTCCCAGTCGGGGCGCATGCGGGAGGCAACCGATGGATGTTTCTCTCCCACATCAGTGTTTCTCTCTCTCTCTTTCTCTCCCTTCCTCTCTCTAAAATCAATTCTTTTCATGGTCAGTCTATTTGTGACAACTCCCAGACATGGCATCCCACAGCTTAATATGCTCTAGTTAACTGTCACCTGAAGAACCCTCTGCCACCAACGTCCAATTTTCATTGCCCACCTGGAAGGAGGGACCTTGGACTCTCACAATCCCCCAAATTAAAGTCTCTACTCTCATGACCCTGCATTTTGTTTTTTCTCCCATTACCCATTTAACTTATAAAAGCCTATAGTAGAATTGCCTCCTGATCATGATGTGTACTAGGAAGACAGTGCCCACTAACCATCCATCTTCTTTTATGGTGCTCTTGTCAAGTTTCTACCATCCTTGTTATTAGTTCAATTGTGTCCCCCCAAAAAGATATGTTGGTGTAATAATCCCAGTACTTCAGAATGTGACTTTATTTGGAAACAGGTTCTTTACAGAGGCAATCAAATTTAAATGAGGTCATTAGGATAAACTAATCCAGTATGAATAGTTGTGAAGGAGAGCAAACCAGGAGATTGAAGAAATGGACCATGAGGAAGAGACATCCATAGGAGAAATCCCTGGTTAACCATCTACTTCTATGTGGCGAGCGGTGGCCCATGTGTGTGGACTGCCGCATGAGTGCAGGGAAGCCCTGAAAACACTGGCTGGTCTTAAGCGTTTGAGGAACTACAAATTACATACTGTGGCAAGGAAGGAAACCACAAGGCCGCAACTGTGGGCGGGCCCCTCTGATGGGCAATTGGCTGGCAACTGACGTCCAGCTAGAGGCAGAAGCCAGGATTAGAAAATTAAAGAAAGAACTGAAACTAGAAAAAGATATTAGAGTACCTACAACTCTTTTAGCATCAGGACGGGCTGATGGAGTTGAAGAGCAAAACAGCTTTAGCTTGTAGCTTTGCCAAACGCAGGACGCAGGCTGCCACGACTTAAGGTCCATGGCTTGTGACTAAGCCAGGTTGGGCCAAATCTCAGCAAAAGACCAGAGCGGGTATTTCTGCCTGGCTAGTGTAGCTTTGGGACACAAGGGGAGATGGAATTTCTCTAACGGGGCAGAAAGCAGGAAAAAAATGAGTAACATTACTGCGCACTCTGCCCTTTGGCAGTGGCTGCATGGTGCCCTAGAGATCATTCTGTCCTGCAGGAAGGCCTAGCCCAGCGGTTCTCAACCTGTGGGTCACGACCCCTTTGGGGGTCGAACGACCTTTCACAGGGGTCGCCTAAGACCATCGGAAAACACATATATAATTACATATTGTTTTTGTGATTAATCACTATGCTTTAATTATGTTCAAATTGTAACAATGAAATTGGGGGTCACCACAACATGAGGAACTGTATTAAAGGGTCGCGGCATTAGGAAGGTTGAGAACCACTGGCCTAGCCAAATGAGGGAGCTCTTCATAGGCAAGTGGATCCTTGGAAATCTATAGAAGGAGTACAGCAAATTCTTAGAGAGATGGGCATGTGCCAGGCGTTCTGTGCTCTAGGGCCACTTTTACAGCAGGAATGAAAGCAAAGATTCTGCAGAAAGTCCCTAGTACACACCTATCTCCATGCTAAGTCCTATAGCGGGGCTGTGGTAAGCAGTTAGACCAGCCGTGGGCAAACTAAGGCCCGCGGGCCGGATCCGGCCCGTTTGAAATGAATAAAACTAAAAAAAAAAAAAAGACCGTACCCTTTTATGTAATGATGTTTACTTTGAATTTATATTAGTTCACACAAACACTCCATCCATGCTTTTGTTCCGGCCCTCCGGTCCAGTTTAAGAACCCATTGTGGCCCTCAAGTCAAAAAGTTTGCCCACCCCCTGAGTTAGACAGACATGAGCAGAGCAAGGATGATGGACCAGGCATAGAAGGTCACCAGGGCAAAAAGCCCTGGGTGCCCAGCAAAGGACAACTGTAGGGTGGGACCTTGCTCCCTGGGTGACCTTTCCTTCCCTAGCATATCGCTGGTCATATGGTTTAGATCCTCTGACCCTTCCTCCCTAGAAATAACACCTAGGCCTCAGTTGTATTTCCGCTCCAGGCCCAGATAAGCAGCAAAACCAGCCACAGCTGACCTCAGGACCAGTTGCATTGAATAATGACCCCCTCCCTGGTGCTGGCCAATCAGTCAGTGGAGACCACAACCCTGAAAGGACAAACCAGGAAAACTGCTGAATGTTCTATGGAGAACTTCCCCTGGGGCCTCCCCTAAAATCTCCACCCTTAAAACCCTTAGCATAGAGGACCCAGTGTACTCTCCAGGGAGCATGCCAGCACCTTTTTCTCCCCCCCCCCCACCCCCGCCCCAGGTGCTTTTCCATTAGCTTCCTCATTCCCAAGCTCCAAGGGCCCTTCCTTTACCTCTATAACCTGTTTCCTAAGCCCACTTTTTCTACAGATTACTTCTACCTGTGATTTTACAAATAAATGTTCTCTTAGAGTTTGAGTCTTGACTCTGAATTCTTTCCTAGCCAGAATTCAAGTACTGAGATTGCTGAACCAAGGTCCAGTGTGACCCTACCAGTCTAACACTCAGAGCCATTTCCACTGCCTACAACAGGACAAGACATCTATGATGTCAGGCAATCTATTGCAGATCTGGGGGAAACCAACCTGTCTCAAGATTGTGTCTGGCCCTAGCTGGTTTGACTCAGTGAATAGAGCATTGGACTGTGGACTGAAGGGTCCCAGGTTCAATTCCGGTCAAGGGCACATGCTCAGGTTTCCAGCTCAATCCCCAACAGAGGGTGTGCAGGAGGCAGCCGATCAATGATTCTCTTTCATCATTGATGTTTCTATCTCT